TTTAACAAATAAGCAAACTATTCATCAGTTATTGAATTAAGATATAGATATTTATTGTTATATATTTTTTATTTGTTTGTTAATAATTCTTTTAATTTATTGGCGTATTTGCTTCGGGGTACTATAAGCAACTAGATATTTGAGTTCGTGGTTGATTCAAATTTATAACTTAAAATTTAATTACCATATTATAATTTAAAAACTATGTATAATATTTTATTACTAAAAATTATTATAATTTTATTTATTAAATTAAAATTACATGTATTATTAAAATTAAAAAAATAAATTAATACAATACAATAATTTAAATACTTCAATTATAAAAGGTTAACTTTGGGATTAATACGATTAATGAATAAAGCAAATAAATCTGATAGCCTATTCTAAATATATTGATTAATAAATTCACTTATTATCAGATCGATATGACTAAGATGAAATAAATGATAATGTAAGTTTCAAATAACTTATTCCAAATATATACTCTGATTAATAAATATTCGCATACCAAAACTTCTTAGTAATATTAATAACTTACTCTAAATTCTTCATAAATCTTGATATTAAATATTAAATCCTGAAAAGCTAATATAGTGTTTGCTACAATCAAGCAAAAAAATCTTTACTCTTAAATACTTAATTAAATCAAATATCAAATGAACATAGATTAAATCGTTAATAAAATTGATTGTTTAATATCTGACCTGATCAAATATTTGAACATCAAGTTTTGCTTGATTGTGCAAGTACTAACTGAATAACATACCAAATGCTTCATTAGATAATTAGTCTACTCAAAGCTTAAAATAAAAATTGCTTAGTTGTTTTTTACCACCACGAATTACTATATATAAAATCTTTATTATAGTAAATCTTCTATTTACTATACTTGAGTATGAATTACAAGATCTATATAAATGAAATAAAATTATACATATTATATATACTCTTAACCATATACTAGAGCCAGATTTATAATAGGCTCTAAACTTAGTAAAATATAACAAATCCGGATCTTGTATGTAGAGATCTATAGTAATTACATGCCCTGTTTTTAAGATTTTACCAGGACCCCAAACAATCTATAGACAAGTAAGATTTTAGTTTGCTTATTTCAGACTATTTTTTTGTTGATCTTTTTCTTTTATAGTAATTAGTTTGCTTATTTTAGGCTTTTTTTCTACAGATCTTTCTATTTTTAGTAATTTTTGCAAATTGTTAGCTGTTTGTAGATTGTTTGGGGTCCTATCTTTACCTATACTTTGATCAATAAAGCAAAGTAAATCTAAATATGAATAAATAGCTTATTTTAAATACTTTATAAATCTAGCAGCTAACAAGTAAAAATTATTTAGCTGTTTCTTGACTACTTTGTATATCACCATTTCTTAGATCTTATAAAGGCAGACCCGTAACTTTAAGTCTCATTTACTTTTCTACAGACAGTTCACTACAAGAAATTAATTAAGATAATCAAAACTATAAGTTTTATACTATCTACTAGTATATCGTTTAATAAAAGTAAATATATAAAATTTTGAATAAATCCGTGGTGAACTTGAACATGAAGAAAAATGCAAAAGCTAATCAAATTTATAGATTTTTGTGATGATTATTCTAGAATCTGATTGCCTAATTTGGTATATTCCCAGACTGTATTTGAAGATTTTATATATAATTTATATATAAATCTTGTGTAATCTGCATCACATAGCTCTTCAGATGACTGGTGAATCATCTATTAAAGTTATTTATATAGATTTGGCTTTCAAGTCCTTCCCACCATGATTTTAAACATATTGCCATTTAAACTATTTTTAAGATTTGATGTCATTCATAGTTTTTTTTTTTTTTGAAGTATTTCTATACAAGAGATCTATGAAATATACTATTAATACAATATATTAAACAACAAAATATTAAACAATTACAATATTTTAATTACCTGATATATGTAAAATTACTACTATTTGACTTTTGTACTTGAAATAATTCACTAATTTCAGATTTATCTAACTATAACTCTGGTTTATACTCTTTCTTATATATTGGTTCATGCTCTTCCTTATGTATTGGTTTATGCTCTTTCTCATACATTGGTTCATACTCTTCTTTATGTATAGATTCATAATCTTCCTTATAAAAAGATATAGATGAAGTTGATATTATAAAGAAATAAATATTCTTGTTTCAAAAAAAAAAAATCATAAATAACAAAAAAAAAGATCGTATAAGATTTATTTAAAAGGATCGTATAAGACTTATTTAAAAGGATCATATAAGACTTATTTAAAAAGATTATGTGAAACTTATTTAAATGAATTTTGTTATTAAAAAGCTACACAAAATTCAAAAAAAATTAGTGTTAGAGCAAGTAATGATTTTTTTATTATTTTAATCAGCATACTTATATATATATTATTACTAACCAATAAGTATAAAGTATAGTATCAGATATTCAATTCAGATTCTAATGTAGATCTGAATTTGACAGATCTTATAAATTATAGATCTAGATCTAATCTGATAGGTCAGATCTAATTCAGATTCAGATTTTTGGATCAGATCTACAGAACACTAACTAGCAAAGCTACTAATTAATTAGAAAAAAATAAAAACTATTTCTATTTTAGTATCTAGTGATTAAATTTTTATAATTTTAGATTTTTTTAGAATTTCCTTAATGAGAGGATCATTTTGGTAGTTAAATTATCCAAATTGATCTAGTAGATCAAAAGTTATTTAATTGATGATTTTTCAGTGAACTGAAGAATGTTCATAGTAAAATGTGACGCAGTTCTATATATAAATTACTATAGACGCAAAAGTAAAAATTTTCTAGTTTGTTTCTGATATCAACTGGGAAGCCACTTGGCTTTACATCAATAATAATCAAAAGGTTTCTAACTTTGCCTATAGTTTCTACTCCTCTATTCTAAAAACCTTCTGTGTTAAAATTCTCTTGGATGAACTACCTGTTCCTCACACTCTTCACAAGTGTAACTCCTCTTACTCTCCTCTCTGTCACCAATGCAATCAAACTAGCTCTTCACTACACTGGACTCTTTGTCCTTCTACTCAAACAATTTATCACTTAATCTCAAATTCTCTTAATTG